ATGGGAATCTGTGGCTATTATGTGGAACTGAATGGTGTTGTAAAATAAAAAATAAATAAATAAATAAATAAATAAATAAATAAAGCAAAACAAAAACAAACAAAAAAAGATGTTTTTGTTAATAGCTTTGAGGTAAAAACTGGTGGAAGAATTTAATGTTCAGAAAGGCCCATAGTTGAATGAGTGACTCGAGGTCAAGGAACAAGAGTAAAGCAGCCCAGTTATTACTAGCTAACATGCCTTCCTTGTAAGGATGGGTTGACAATCAAAAATGATGATTAATTCTTTGTGCCTATTTCAGACTTCAGATTCCTTATATAAAAAAAAAAAACTGTTGATGAATTAGTATGCACCCTGAGGATTTAAAATAGAGATGACTTATTCTTTTTCATATATAAAAGTTTAGATTTGTGATTCTTCTAAGATTACTTATAAGATTACCTTTTGAGATAAGTAATGAAATGACTGCCCCTTTCTCTGTAACCATAAAATGCAGCCTGCCAGCAAAAGAACTGGCTAAGAAACATACTTTGCTTGCTTACACACTGTTAATCTATGCGGGTTTTTGGGACAACTTGTTTTTCATCTGCAATACATAAAATATTTAATCATGTAAGGGATATGGAAAACATGTTGGATTTTATTTGTATTCATTGTAATCATTCCCTTAAAAAACAGAATGTAAGCACATTATAATTTTTATACTGCTTAAAAGATTTTTAAGATTTGCTGGAATACATAAGCTATAAGAGAAAAATTAAGTTAGTTAGAAGGAAGACATTAAGAGAGACAGAAGGGATAAATCTGGATAGAAGTAAAAAAAAGAAAGAACAGAAAGAAAAGATGATAGGGAGACCCTAAGTGTGTGTGTGTGTGTGTGTGTGTGTGTGTGTGTGTGTGTGTGTGTGATTTCCCTTTTTTGCTGGCCCCAGAGAGTTGTTTCTTTCCCCTTGCTGGCCCCAGAGGACAAAGTTTTACTCCTTCTGATAGAAAATTCAAATTGAGTGATTAGTCCACTGACTCCAGGGCTCTTCTTCAAACCATGAGCTGCTAGAGGCTGATCCTCATGGCAGTGATATGTATACATTATACAAAAGGAAAAATTGAAGTTCAATTTCAGTAAGGTATCCAGGGTTTTAAAACTATGATGCCACCAGGGTGTATGCCAGAGGATTTGTGGTCATCACCAGGCCACAGATGAGGACACTGAGGCTGAAACAGAGACTCTGTCCCCACTTCCCTGCTGTGTCTCAGAGGCCATTTCCTGTGCCCTCACTTTCATTTACCACAACAAAGCAACACTCCCCACTTCTGTAACCCTGCCACTGACTCGGACTCTTCTCTAAGAACCTAAGTTGAGGAATTCTAGGCCAAATCCCTGTTCCAGGAGTCTCCAGACAGGAGGTTCTTATTCCAGGGGCCTCAGGCTCTGGGAGACCAGCCTTTTTCCTTCTTCCATGGACAGATGGCATTTTAAAGACTAGATACAGGAGGCAGCTCCATTCTCTGACTGCTGCTTAGGGAATAAACTATGTAGGTTGTATACCGTGTATTCCGTGTTAGTCTGTGATGCAGGGCACTTTGTTAACATCTTGATTATTCCTCACCTGCTCACAAGTCAGGTGTCCACTATGAACCTCAGCATCTTCTCTAAAGGGATGAAGTGACCTCTCCCCTATAACACATGCTTAGGGAGAAAATGACCTAACAGAGATGGGACACATAGCACATTGTATTTTTCCCTCCTTCCATACACTCTGTCATCAAGGGCATCCTTCGGGCAAATGACATGGCAGACGAAGTATGACTGGAAGCTTACGGATTGCATCTTAAGTGAGCCACTTGCTGGTTGGGGTTGCCTAAGAAATCTGTGACCTAGAACTTCATTGTCCTTATTTGTGACATCTATCGAGTTAGGATGAAGCCACTCTCACTGTCCCTCTCCATTGAGGGGTTGTGAGACTTGCTGCAGCTGCACACAGGTAAGTAATAGGTAATATGCTGATAAACCAGTTCACCCTGAAACCCAGCAGGCCTTGACCACAGGGTTTGTGCCTTATTGCCAGGACTGTGGTTTAATGGGGTCATCCACTGTGGCACTACTTCTGTGGGGCTTCTAAGTTGAGATAGAGTCCCATGCTTGGACAGCAAGAAGCTAGCCAGGAGTCAGATGTAGGTTCAAGACCAGATCTCAGCAACAATGATCACAATGGCTATGTGATCATGGACAGGGCACTGGAGCACAGGGCTCACATCTCAAACAGGACTGGGCTGGGTAGTCTGACTGTCCTTCATTCTATAAAATTCTCAGAATCAAGACTTAGAAGGAAAAACCTCAAGCTTCTGTCAGGAAATTCAAACTGAGTGTCTTGTTGCTTCAGCTGATGACTGGAGATCTTCCACATGGAGACACTCCAGGATATAAGCTTACAGTGCCCAGAACTCTCAGTTCCTGAGAGTTGGTCCCTGACATAAAACATTTTCAGACACATCCAAGGCATAAGCCTAGCTTGGAGCCAGCATCTAAACCAGGGCTGCGGCATTCCACAGCGAATGTGGGCATGTTGTGGAATGTTCTCAGTGTGTTGTGGATGAAGAGGAAATGAGAAAAGGACACTGCACCCTGACCCTGTCACTTTCTGCTTTGATGTGCTTTACCTCTTGGGAGGAGGAGACACATACCTTGGGGGTAAAGAGCTTCTGCTTGCCTGCTACCTGGCATCTCTGTGGACATCTAGATGGAACCTGTCATAACTAGGTCCTGTGTCATTAGGGCAGAAAGGAAAGACTTACTCAGGTGGGGAAATACACTCTGGATGCAGTAGGCTAGGTCTGACCTGTCCCTGGACAGGGCAGTCAGCTCTTAGAGTCTTATTGTAGCCAGTAGGCTGGACTATGCTGGGACAGACAGAAAACTAAGCACGGCTGGGCATTCAGACAAGGGTATTAATTTACCCCCATTTACCAGAAGGGGACTTCTAGCCAAGAGGATGTCTAGGCCTCAGCTTCCTTGGTCCACAGTTGGAATAAAGTCACCCTATGAATATGAGGGTCACTTCCACACTTGCTTCTTCCTTGTTGCTCACAGAAACTTGGGCACATTTTGACCTGTTGGAGATATCAGGGATGCGGAGGACAAAGTGGTACTTACCAAGCACATTCAGCACTGTGCCTCCCCCAGACGGAATCTCCCTGTCAGATTCTGTTCTGATGATCTTCACACAGTAGTAGGTACCAGCATCAGCAGGTGTGACATTAGTGATGCGGATGGAAAAGTCCAGGTTGTTTCTCTTTGTAGTATCTGCAACATCTGTGACTCTGGGGAACTTATCTCCTGTGAAACTATATATTAGGTGCCGACTCTGCCCTGTACCCCTGAACCACTGAATGGGCCCCACAGGGAGCAGGGAGGTCACAGTGCAGTTCAGAGTAGCTGAGTCTCCAACAGCAACAGAAACTGATTTCTCAGGCTGAATCACCTTCAGCTCCTTCTGTGTAGCTGCTCCTGCAGGAAACATCAGTCAGTACTCATCCTGATGGGAACCCAGAGGCTCCTCTAGTTCATAATCATATACTGCTACTTTACTAGAGCTTAGCATGACATGATCACAGTTCTCCTCACCCAGGACCTCTGAACACAAGGATTAACACACAGGAGCAAACTGAGTCCCCGACACTGAGAACTCAGCAGGATTCTGACTGAAGCCCCAATTCAGTTTGCAATTCTCATGCTTCATCCAGTATCTGTTGGTTTTCCCCTTCCATGCACATGGCATGAGCCCTTCTCGTGTAATAGTATTGGGTGTGATTCATGGGACTCTTTAAAGCTAGTTAGATATGAGTGTAAGAGCTGGATAAAGTTAATGAGATGTATGTTTGATTACAAGATTCTTTAGGCCAGGCCTGTAACTCACGATGGGGTTGCTTTATCAGGTGAAGTGATAAGTCCATAGATAGCTCCCAATGTGCAATAACATGCACCTTCATTAGAGAAGTAAACCCTCTGCTCGATACCAGTTCTTAAAATACATGTTATAATCACAGTAGTTAGCTAATTAATTTTATGTGTGAGTATTTTCTTCCATGTATTTCTGTGCAACAAATGCAAGCCTGGTGGTCAAGGAAGCTAGAAGAGGATGTCACAACCCTTGGAACTGAAGTTATATATAGTTATAAGTCACCATGTGGAGGCTCAGAATTTTACCTGGGTCTCATGGAAGAGTAGCAAATGGTCTTAACCCTTGAACTATTTCTCCAACCCCAGCATTATATTGATTTTAATGATGATGCAACAGATTCCTATAAAGTTAATGGTTTGACACAACAGAAATGTTTTATTTCATGCTTTGGAGGTCAGAAGTTCTAATTTGGTATGTCAAGGCAACTGTCACATGGTCACAGCATTCCACCCTCCAGGAGGCCCGGTTTGTTTCCTTGCACATGGTGTGGACACCTGGCTGTGCTCTCCCTTGTCACCTGTCTTCCCATCACAGTACCTTATTTACTCAGTGACTCTAAGTCCCATAACACTGACACTTCTGACCCCTTCTTGGATGGACTTTGATGATCTGGTAGGTGCACTGAATTGTACTCATTGTACTACACTACTGGACAATGACTGTACAACATTCATTTGAGACATGAAAAGTGAAAAAGGAAAGTAAGGAAAAACACTAAAGAAAAGTCTACAGCCAAATATAACACCAAATGAAGATAAACTGTGAGCTGGAAACAAATGGCATCCAGGAGTTGAGAAGTACATAACTTAGTCCATTAGTCCTATGGACAGGATCCACAGAGGATTTAGTAGGTTACAAATAATATCTAAAACCATGGAAATGGACACCATAGCATTACTTAATTAGCACTGCAGGGGAATGGGGTACAATAAAGGGAAGAAATTGGAGAATTTTGAGTATAGTAGCAAAATAATTAGAAAAAAAACCCTGTTGTCTAATACCTTCCTGGTTTATTAAAATATAAGAACTATAAATCTAACACACTGAGCTAATTCAATCTGAGATAAACTCAAAGAGGCCCACACCAGCACACACTAGAATCCAACAGACAAAAGAGGAGTAACAGAGAGTGCTGAGAGCAGCCTGGAGCATGACTCATCTCATCCTGCTAATGATGTGAACACAGCTCTTATCAGAAATGTCAACATCCAGGAGGCAATGAGACATTGTGTGTATTCACAGTTCTAAAAGAAGAAAACTACATCCAGGATTTAAGTAAATCCAAGGATTCCACACATGGCAACACTATGGGTCCAAAGCACCATAGAAAACATGCTGTTCCTAGTTAAAAATCTGTGTTCATTAAAATGATACCTCCCATAGAGGAAATGTTAATGGGCTCCATTGTGTTGAAATAAAGGATCCCAGAGAATAAGGCCCAGTTTAAAAGACACTACAACTTCTTGTCTATATGGTGACATTTTAAATTCATAAAGTATCCGGAGCTCTCAGCTTCCATTTAGCTGTTTGGTAATGGAGGCTCTAATTTTCTACCTTGTAGTTCTCATTAATAGTTTTAGGGAGGCTGGTCATGCACCTGGAGCTGTTAGGAACGATGGGGGATGGGCTCAGACCTCACAGTCACTGTAGATCTCCAACAAAAATATCTGATATGGAAAATCTGCTTCCCTAAATAACATTGGCTCAAAGCAAAAGGAAACTTTGTGAAATTAAAACCTTATGTAGTGAGAAAATGCCAAATCTAGCAAACATGTGGGTAGTCTTAGAATACTTACTGTTTAAAAAATAAAATATGGGAAAAATAATGGGAATAGGTTAGATTATATTACAAAATATAATTTATATTTTGGCATAGCTTTGTACACCAATTATATAAATACTTTTGTCAAATTTCTATGATTTGTTCCAACTGGAAATTCTAAATTTATAAAATAAATTCGGACAAGCAGAGGCAGGTAGGCCCGCAGCAGCAGCCAGCAGAGACATACAGGCCGGGTGGTGACCGGCAGAGACACACAGGCCTGGCGGTGGCCCACACAAACAGACAGGCCCGGTGGCAGCAACAGGCAGAGGCAGGTAGGCCCACTGTGGTTGCTGGCAGAGACATACAGGCCTGGCAGTGGCCGGCAGAGACATACAGGACCAGCGGTGGCGACAGGCAGAGGCAGGTAGGCCTGGTGACATTGGCTAGCAGAGACTTACAGGCCCGGCAGCAGACCACAGACACAGACAGGCCTGGTGGTGGTCCACAAAGGTAGACAGGCACAGCAGCAGCGACAAGCAGAGGCAGGCAGGCCCATGGTGGTGGCCTGCAGAGGTAGACTGGCCCGGCAGCAGCAGGCAGGCCTGGTGTGGAGGCAGACAGACCCAGCAGGCGGCAGCCGAAACACAGTTGCAATAAAGACCAGAAACAGAGCTATTACCCGCTGAAGAGCTAGTGAAAACAAGCTCTTAATCAAGAGCTTAGAACTGAGATGCCTCTAACCCCAACACCTGGGGAAGAAGCTATCTCCAAGGGACAGAACCAGAATGAATCTGAACACTCCTTCTGAGGTCAACCCACGGCCCAGCTGCTGATCCTGCGAAACCCAACAACTTGGAGGTGTTGGTGAGACTACCCCGCTCAGCTGAAATCCATCCAGGAGAGGATTCAGATCCCTACAGTTTGAAGTCTGAAGAAACAAGATCAGCTGAGGAGTTGACAAATGAACAAAATGTGACCTGGGAACACAGAAGAAAGTGCTGCCCAGCCACCAAACCAGATCACCAGAATCATAAGTATAGACTTCACCAACTGAGATCAGCTGCTCTTGAAGAAAGAGCCCAATAGCACCAATTTAACCAAGAACTCCTAGTGAACCAAGACTAAAAATTAGAACAAGAGAGGCACTCTCAGACACAGACACCACCTGCACTGAGCAGAGGAAGAGATGAATAGATGCCAGTGCAAAAATACAGGTAACAACATAAAGACCTATATGGCAACATCAGAACCTAGTGATCCTATACCTGCAAGACCTGAACATAACAAGACAGAAGAAACAGAATCAATCAATCCTAAAAATGACTTTAAGAAGATGATAGCGGCCCTTAAAGAAGAAATAAAACATTCCTTTAAAGAGGAAATAAAAACGTCCCTTAAAGAGGAAATGAAAAACTCCATTAAAGAGGAAATAAAAATTCCCTTAAAGAGGAAATGAAAAACTCCACTAAAGAGGAAATAATAAACTCCCTTAAAGAAATGGAAGAAAAAATGAACGAAAAATGGGAAGAAATCAAAGAAAGCCAAGAAAAAGCAATTAAACAGATGAAAGAAACATTCCAAGATCTGAAAAATGAATTTGAGACAACAAAGAAAACACATGCTGAGGGAATGTTGGAAATAGAAATCCTGACTAAACGAACAGGAACTACAGAAACAAGCATTACCAACTGATTGCAAGAGATGGAACAGAGAATCTCTGACACTGAAGACACAATAGAGAAAATAGATTCGTCAGTCAG